TGTCATGGAGGGATCCAGTGCCTCCAGAAGCACATGTGAATCATATGGAGCTTTTTCTGACATTCCACAACACTCTGTATAAACATGACCCTGACTGAATATGTTCTGGCACCCAGCTCTTTGCTCTTTCCCTTTCTTCCCCTAAGTGTGTTGAACTAAACTATATGCCATAAATGTCGTTACTCATTTTATTTAGTTTTTGCTTTTGGGGTGAAGGTTCAGTTTCAGTCTTTTGGATCTAAGTTTCCATGTAAGTATTAGTCAAGTATTAACAGCACAGGTAATGGGTTAACTTTAGAATAGGAATTGGTGTGGGTTGGGTGGGGGAGAATGCAAGAATCTTTATTTTATTATTTTGGATGAAATTTTTATCTGTCATATATTAAACATTCTTGCTGCTGCACTGCTAAGTCATAGCAGATTTGAGGTGTTATTGAGGGCCTGCTCTCCAAGTTGAGACATGTCCTTGGGTCAAATTAAAAGTCCTACCTAAAACTAAAGTGGGGAGTGGGAGATCCTTGCCTCCAATATACCATGCCAGTCTCCCGTTAAACCCTGTGCCTTTTTGTTTGTTTGTTTGGTTTTGGTTTTTTAAATACAATTTATTGTCAAGTTGGCTTACATATAACACCCAGTGCTCATCCCAACAAGTGTTCTCCTCAATGCCCATCACCCATTGCCCCCTCTCTCCCATCCCCCATCCACTCTCAGTTTGTTATCTGTATTCAAGAGTCTCTTGTGATTTGCCTCCCTCCCTCTCAGTTTGTTTGTAATTAATTTTTTCCCCTTCCCTTCCCCCATGGTCTTCTGTTAAGTTTCTCAAGATCCACATATGAGTGAAAACATATGATATCTGTCCTTCTCTGACTGATTTATCTCACTTAGCATAATACCTTCCAGTTCCATCCATGTTGCTGCAAATGGCATGATTTCATTCTTTCTCATTGCCAAGTAGTATTCCATTGTATATATAAACCACATCTTCTTCATTCATTCATCATTCATCCATTCATCAGCTGATGGACATTTAGGCTCTTTCCATAACTTGGCTATTGTTGAATGCACTGCTATAAACATTCGGGTACATGTGGCCCTATGCATCAGCACTCCTGTATCCCTTGGGTAAATTCCTAGCAGCGCTATTGCTGGGCCATAGGCAGATCATTCTCACTGAGTTGCTGGACACTACAGGTATCTGTGCCCAGGCTAGGAGGGACCTCTGAAACCTTCTTTGTGGCCTGGCTTATTATTACTATTTTTTTTCCATCCTGTGGTTTTTCTAATGGATATTCAGGACTTTTGTAATTTCATAGCTATCCAAGCTCTACTTCCCCAATTGTAAGAACTTTAATCAAAAGTTTAAAATGAAAGGACACCTGGGTGGCCCAGTTGGCTGAGTGTCTGACTCTTGATTTTGGCTCAGGTCACCATGCTTCATGAGATTGAGCCCTGTGTCAGGCTCTGTGTTGATGACATGGAACCTGCTTGGGATGTTCTCTCTCCATCTCTCCTTGGCCCTCCCCCACTCTCTCTCTCTCAAAATAAACATTTTATTAAAAATTTTTTAACATTTTTATTTATTTTTGAGAGAGAGAGACAGAGTGCAAGCGGAGGAGGAGCAGAGAGAGAGGGAGACACACAATCCAAAGCAGGTTCCAGGCTCCAAGCTGTCAGCACAGAACCCCACACAGGGATCAAACCCACAAACCATGAGATCATGACCTGAGCCAAAGTCAGATGCCTAACCGATGGAGCCACTCAGGCATCCCAGTAAACATTTTTTTTAAGTTTAAAGTGATGGGGCGTCTGGGTGGCTCAGTCAGTTAATTAGGTATCTGACTTCGACTCAGGTCATGATCTCATGGTCCGTCCATGGATTTGAGCCCCGTGTCGGGCTCTGTGCTAACAGCTGAGAGCCTGGAGATTGCTTTGGATTCTGTGTCTCCCTCTCTCTCTGCCCCTCCCCTGTTTGCCCCTCCCCCCCTCAAAAACAAATAAATGTTAAAAATTTTTTTTAGAGTTTAAATTGAAGGTGCTGGTTATAGTCATCCAATGAAAGTCCACACATCATGACAAAACCTTGAGTGTTGTCTTGAGAAAAGCTTCAGTGTCTCCTGGTTTTGGATGTTCAGCTACCCCTGCTGATCTGTTTCCTTGCTTTTCTTCCCCCCTCTCACCCTTTGCTGTCCTGCATAATGATTTGGTGAGAGAAATTATTGCTGTCTACCCACTCCCACCTCCCCACACTACATATGCATGTCAAGTTTTATTATTGCAATAAAAGTGCTTTTATGCTGGCCTTTCTAAAACAAAAAAATGAGTGGAGGAGTAACAGGTGGAAGCATTCTGTAGTTTCTTCAGTTGAGATACTTAAAAACACATCTGGAAACCTCATGCTGATTGTCCAGGGTATATAACAAACGTAAAATATCCAAAACTCAACCTGTTATCCTTCCTGTTCTATATCACAGTTTCAATCCCATTTGTTCCTATTTTGTGGTTATCTCCATGTAAAGGGTTCTTATGTCCAGAAATCCCTTCTCATCCACCATGTCCATTTGATTATGGCTATTAATGCTTGTCCACCATTCATTTACCTCTCTCCTGCCTCTATTTTTGCTTGCTTATTATATAAGCCCTCCATTTACTGTCAGTAAATTTAATATTCTGGGCTCTGGTTTCATTCTTCCTGGGTTTCAATACTGGCTATAATGCATCAGCAGAATGTTGCTAAGGAGATACATCTTCCAAGAGAGGTTGATAATGAGACGTATGGTTTAAAGATCTGTTAATAGTGTATACAAATCTAAGTGGATCTCTTCTATCTCCAGGAAGAGGGAACTTGTTTAACAGGAGAAGCTCATATTTTATATCCTTGAAGACATAGGCTTAGTTGCATTAAAGGGAAAGAAACCCTGAAGAGTGGGAAGAAGATGGTCAGAAAGAAAAAAAAAATTATAT